ATTCTTTCTTTTTTTAATTCCGAGGACGGAAATTATTTTAAGGGGGGTAAAATGTAAGGACCATTAAATTTTGATACTAGTTAAAATAAATTTTTGATATTTTAAAATATTTAATTATGATTTTTAAAAGAGTATTTGTATTTTTCTCAATTTTCTACAATTTTCTATGATTTAAAAATCTGATTATATATTTATTTAAATGATTTTGATATTTATAAATTTATTTTGTGCGGTAAAAATTTCTAAAATTAATTTGTTGTGTTATTGGTACTATTACGTAATATTTTAAATAAAATATTGTATTATTAATATTATTACAAATTATTTCATATAATACATAGTATTATTAATTACGTGTTTTTGGCATAATTTGTTGAATTATTCTACTGTTACATATTTTCTGTCGTATTAGTATAACTAGTACGTTTTACGGTGTATATAATTATCCCATAATTATTTAATTTTAAATTTAAGTAGAAATATTTTTATTATTAATTATTCATGTTTAATTATACAATATATGTATTTTTCAACTATTTCGTATTAGCTGTTATAATAGCACAATATGTACGTTTTTAATTGTAGATAATTATTATGTAATTAGTTTAATTTTTAAGTACCCAAAAGTATTTATTTTAATTATTTTAACCTAAACCCTAACCCTAATTACAACCATATATATATTATATACCTCCTCTCTCTCTCTCTCTCCTCTCTTTTTCAAAATCACAGCCGCCTCTCTCTACTGTTCATCTTCCCCAACCCGTCACCATCATCACCTCTCTTCTCTTCATCTCTCATTTTCTCTCTTCATCAAACCCATCACCGCCTCCAGGCTCGTCTCCTAACCACCCGCCTCCGCCGCACCACCACCAGCCTCCCCTCTCCACCAAGATCAGCACCTCCTCCTTCTCCGCCTCCTGCAGCACCTGCACCTCCTGAACCGCGCCCACGACCCCCGCTGCTCGACCTCCTCTCCACCCACGACCACCCGCGCTGCCAGCACCTCCTCCCCGCACCTCCGAGAAGATGAGACGAGAATGGCCGGCGGATCTCGACGGAGGGACACAATGAT